CTAGAAAGACGAAGAGTGCGGGGAGATATGATAGTAGGGGAACATATGGGCACGGGGGTGGAGGAGACTGCAGTGGGAGCGGGTAAGCAAAGTGAAAGATTACAGGGAAATAGTGTTAGGAATGATGATAAAACTAAATTAGACAGGGAGTTTAAACCTAAACGCGGTAAAGGAAGGACTCAGACCACGACTAACTTAAATGTCTACTACGCGAACAGTAGAAGTATGAGAAACAAAATGGTTGATATTAGGGCCTTGGTATGTACCGATAAATCGATATAATAGCATTCACTGAAACATGGATCAACCTAGACTCACCTGAGTTGCCGGTCGAATACCAAATTGCGGGTTACAAATTGTTCCATACCGATAGGCAGACCAGGAAAGGAGGCGGAGTAGCAATCTATGTCAGGGATAATCTGAAGTGTGAAATAAATAAGGAAATAAAAACTGAGCGGATTACAGAAACAATTTGAATAGAATTAATCGACGGTAGGGAAAAATTAATCACAAGAGTAATATATAGACCTCCCAACCTTGATAGAGTAAATGAGCGACTTATCTGGGATGAAATGCGCAGGGCTTCCATACTCAACAAAGTCTGTATAGTAGGCGACTTTAACCTTGGCCAAATAGATTGGACTGACCTTACGTGTAACTCAAATCAGAGGATTTTCTCGAAACGATCCAGGACTGTTTCCTAAGTCAACATATAAACGAACCCACCCGGGGTAATAATATACTCGATTTAGTTCCGTCGAACAGAGAAAACTTCATTAGCAATGTCGAGGTAGGGAACGAGCTTGCAAACAGCGATCACAAGGAAATTAGATTCCAGTTAGATTTTCAGGGCAGACGTAAGGAAAATTCCACTAAAGTACCAGATTTCAGAAGGGCAAACTTTGACATTTTGATAAAGCAGCTGAGGGAGGGGGTGTCGCACTTGGGGGTGAGCTACATGACCTCACATGAGGAGACCTCACTCATTGCACCCACAGAGGGCGACCTCACTGCACCAGGAGACCTGACGGTTGAGACTGACTTGATAACAAGATCTGAGATTGCCGAGTTTCACTACAATTTAAGTAATGAGTTACTTAATGCACAAAAGCAGGACATACCATACAAAAAACTCAGATCAGACAACAATAACCCTAAATGGATAAATAATTATTTAAAGAACATCATTGGCCAAAGGAAGGCTATAGGTAGAAGGATAAATCGTGGCGAAATTTACCTCTGGGATTATTATAAGGTATTGGCGAGTAGGGTTAAAACCAAGATAAGGAAAGCTAAAAGGAATAATGAAGCAAGGATAGCAAGGGAGGCAATGACAAACCCCAAAGGATTCTACTAAATGTATCAAACTAAGACACGAGAAAAGATTGGACCAATACGGTCAGATACCGGCGAGCTAACTGATAATGACAGAGAAATGAGCAATAATCTGAACAAACATTCGTCAACAGTTTTCACCACCGAAAATTTAAACATGATACCCGAGGCACCGACTCTATTCAGAGATAGTGAAGAAAACAAATTAAGGGAGATAGTAGTAAGTAGTAGCGATGTTAGTAAGCAAAAAGACAAACTAAAGCCTAATAAGTCACCTGGTCCCGATGAGATATTTGCCAGAGTATTAAAGGAATGTAAGGAAGAGCTTAGTATGCCCTTAGCAAAGTTGTTTAACATGCCCTTAAAAACAGGTGTAGTATCAGAATCCTGGAGGATAGCGAATGTAATACCGATTTTCAAGAAGGGGGATAGATCACTATCCTCTAATTACTGCCCAATTAGTCTAACATCAATAGTAGACAAATTACTGGAAGCAATCATTTCAAACTCTATTCAAAATCGCCTGGAGAAGCACGGATTGATCAATGATTCCCAGCATGGCTTCACAAGCTGGCATTCATGTCTAACTAATCTATTAAAATTCTTTTCATCAGTTTTCGAATCGGTGGACGAGGGGCACAATTATGATGTGGTGTATTTCGACTTTAGCAAACCCTTCGACAGAGTCCCCCACGAAAGACTAATTAGAAAGGTAGAAGCACATGGCATCAAAGGTAATATCCTCAAATGGATTAGGGCGTGGTTACAGGACAGGAAACAGCGAGTGAGCATTAACGGCACTAAATCCCATTGTAGCAACGCCACTAGTGGAGTTCCCCAAGGCTCAGTACTTGGGCCATTATTATTTATTATATACATATCGGCATAAACAGCAACATAAGTAAATTTGCTGGTGACACTAAAATAGGATGTGTTATTAAATCTGACGAGGACTCCGCAAAACTACAGGAAGATCTAAAAAAAATTTCGAATGGTCTGAAAAATGGCAGATGAAATTCAATGTGAACAAACGTAAAGTGCTCAGTTTAGCAGATGTAAACAGGGAAACCAGTTACCAGATGAACAACGATGCCATTGAGAAATCAGACTGCCAGAGAGATTTAGGAGTAATGATAAGTAGTAACCTTAAGCCAAGTAAACAATGTGTTTTTGCTCGTAACAAGGCTAACAAAGTACTTAGGATCATACAAAGGAGTGTTAGTTACAGACTAGCGAGTTCATCCTAAAACTGTATCTTGTGCTTGTGAGACCACACCTGGATTACTCAGTTCAGTTCTGGTCACCTTATTACAGAATGGATTTAGAATCCTTGGAAAGAATTCAGAGGAGAATGACAAGACTAATCCCTGGCATTAGGAACCTTGAGTATAGAGACAGGTTAAAGCATCTTAATTTGCACTCCCTCGAGAGACGTAGAGCGAGGGGCGACCTGATAGAGGTGTATAAATGGGAGTCAGGGCTAAACAAAGGGGACATTACAAAGGTACTCAAACTATCCAACCAGGAGCGAACTCGTAACAATGGTTTTAAATTAGACAAATTTAAATTTAGGCGCGAGAAATAGGTAAACACTGGTTCGGAAGCAGAGTAGGGGATGAATGGAACAAGTTACCAAATAATTATCATCATTAACTCGAATACGCTGAATAGCTTCAAACATAGGTTGGATGATTATGAGCAATAGGGATTGGGTGTAAACGGGACTGCCCAGTATGGGCCAATAGGCCCGCTGCAGTTTCCACCATTCTTATGTTCTTATGTCCTTAAGTATTTAAGTGGGTGAAAGGAATCAATAAAAGGGATATAGATAATGTTCTTATAATATCCGAGCAGGATAGGACTCGTAGCAACGAATTTAAGTTGGAAGTTTAAGTTTTGGAGGGAGATAGGAAGGAACTGGTTCACAAATAGGGTGGTGGACGAGTGGAACAAGCTTAGCAACTTTATAGTAAGTGCTCGAACGCTGGAAAGTTTTACAAGGAGGCTAGATAGATTAATGGATGATAGAGAGTGGTAGTAACTCTCGACAGGAGCTGCCATGCACAGGCCAACCGGCCTATTGCAGACTCCTTATTTTCTTATGTTCTTATGTTCTTATATAAAGGCCCTGCAGTTCCGTCCACAGGCCATTAGATTCCTGATTCAGATTCCATTGAGTCGACTCCCACAACACTATCGACGGAAGACGGAGTCACACTCGTCACTAGTTGAGGGCGGGAGGGAGACTTCCCTCCCCAGCACCCAGAGTCCAGCACTCTCATATATATATATATATATATATATATATATATATATATATATATATATATATATATATATATATATATATATATATATATATATATATATATATATATATATATATATATATATATATACTGATAACCACAAGGAAAGAAGAAAACACGAAGTTCCCAAGAGCTTTCGTGTAATTCACATCTTCAGGGGTGAGTACAGACTGTACAGTCTGCACTCACCCCTGAAGATGTGAATTACACGAAAGCGCTTGGGAACTTCGTGTTTTCTTCTTTCCTTGTCTGATCATATATATATGCACCTACAGTGATTTATATATATATATATATATATATATATATATATATATATATATATATATATATATATATATATATATATATATATATATATATATATATATATATATACATATATATTATAATGAGAACATTGTCAACGTAATCCCGTTAGAAACAAAAGCGGATGTACGAGGAGCCATGTGGCTTCAGTGGTACCTACTTTACAGTTGAGTCACCCACCGTCGATCTTATCTCCGCCAGTACAACCAAACTCTCACTCAACTTACAACTTGTCAAATAGTCCTGAGAGGGGCTGCTTGTATGTTGTAACAGTTTGCATGAGGTACAGAGATATTATGTCATTAAATATTAACTATAGGGTTTGAGTATACTCGAGACGATTTACATTAAAGTAGTTGGGTATCCTTTGTAACGAAGGTGGGTGGCTATTCAACCAAGTTAAACTAATCTTTTTATAAAATGCACAAGTTGCCGCTTAAGCGACAACCAAATCCTTTGTAACTGTCTAACGTAATATTAGACAACTCACCATTAGCCATTAACCCCTGTACATAATCAGTGTACATCTACGTCTGACCAAATATATGTGAAAAGAATGTCAACAACATGTACTTGTAAAACATATGTCTTTCACTCATGCAAAAATCACTACACTGCTTGAAGAATTAACCAGATAATCCGTGACTCATATAAAGCCAACAAAATATAATTATCTAAGTACAGTAAACGATGTATGAAGAGTTACAACACTACAGCATTTCAAAATAAATTACACAATATTGTTGGTCTCACATGACACTGTATGGAGGTAAACGATGCTTCGGGAAAGTTCAAAACTACTTTACTGACACTCGTTAAATGATCTTACTGTGAATCATCCTCGTATCTCAAGATATAACAACAAAACTGATTAAAACATGGAATCAAAATTGCACTTAAACTGCATTAACTTCAATCAATATATTCAAATTTAGTCCAAGTTATAAGACAAAATTTACGTAGAAATTTATTGTAAATCCGGACCCAGTATCAATTTATAATAAGCTGGGCATCTCTTCTGTTTCATTGTGAAAAAATTGTGCTTACCTTGGGCTGTATCTACAAATCCTAGGAGACCAATGCTGAAGACATATACGTGGACAACCATCTGCATGGTTTCAGTTTAATGATGAGTTTCTTTGCTTTATACATAGGATACTTGTATAACTGTCAAGAGCCTCTTTTCCCCTGTATAAAGAACACCATGAGGTGTATAGCAGAGATCACTGTCGATTTGGTGTCACGTGGCAGGATGACGCGTGATAACTGGCCAGCTGAGCTGATCTTGCTGAGGATGTTTGTGTCAATGTCCACAAAACAGGACACCAACCGCTTTACCAACACTGCCCCGGCTTACACTCGGGTTTCCCAGTTACTCTGCTGTGAAACAAAAAAATTAAAATTTACTTTTTCATGAATTCCTGATTTTTCCCGTGGTGCTGGCAGAGCGGTGTCAGTCAAACTCTCTTAAGATTTGTATCTCAATGCATATAAACGTATAATACTTATACATATACAACATACATTAAAATACTTACACAGTAGCTATTGCAGCTTCATGACTAAATGATTTTAATTATTCTAATTGCTTAGCTTATGGCACTTTACGTCATTCTTAAAATCTAAAGGCAGAACGATACAGAACAGATGATCTTGAAGTCAGATTTCGTGTATAGACGAGAACACCAGAGGACTGTCACGGGTCCTCCCATCTCCAATCAACAAACCCGCCATTCACCGTCTAGGTTCTAACATATGTTGAGCGTGACGACATTTTAACACAAAGGCAGCAATCAACTGTGTTACGGCCGTGTTGACCTTGGCGTTGACGGCCAGTAAACCAATTCAATCAAATCAAGACTAGTCGAACACGTACAGGAAACCGTTAATGGCTTGGCACATCTAGTGAGGGAACAAGAAACTATACAATTAGACCGAAACCCAGTCAAAGACAATCATGCGAGACACCCTTCCATTGACACCCTCCCCTACCCATCACTTCCCTTGCACGCAACCTTTTATATACCCCACTTTCAGTATCACGTACCTTTGCCTCAGGCACCCCCTTCCCCTGTCCTCACAACTAACCGATATATACGTAAGGTGCGTCCACATGTGCGTGCATTTTGTCGCCAATAATTATGTGATCAACAAGAGGAAACACGGATCGAGCGTACTAGACCGCACCCTACTAGAGTTGTTCACATGTTGGCGACAAAATGTACGCACGTGTGGACGCTCCTTAAGCCACACTTACACCCCAACAAGGTCCCTTTTTATATATCAAAACCTTGTCAACACTTCTACTGCACCACTTCAAACACTCTCCTCAACAATTTTACGAGTTAGTATACCTCATCCAATCAATCACGGCATCAGAACAGACTATGAATCCTATGAATGTGAGTTATATAAATAAGCCCGTTCTGAAGACTAGACACAAGGCCGTTGTATTTTACTTCACTTGAATTTTTCCTCTTAGACACTGGTCGACCTGTTACCCGCTGGCGGTCGGTCACGTCTCTCTTACCCACTATTGGCAAGTACTGGGCATGCACTGGTTCCAGAATGTATCTGTACCTGCTCTAGTGTTGGTCAAGTCTGGTGTTTGATGAACTCGCACTCGGTGCCGTCACAACACTCTCTGGTAGAGTGTTCCAAGAGTTTACAACTTTCATTCTAAAAAAGTTTGTCCTGACAATTTTCTGAATTCGTGGTTTCTTCACCCTGAAGCTGTTACCTCGAGTGGGGCGGGAATACGCAAGTTCCAGGTATGAACACTCATCTAAGCAATGTTCTTTGAGGTGTTTATAACCTTCTATTAAGTCACCCCGACCTAACCTAACCTAATCAAAATTGAACTGCATAATCCAAGTGAGGTCTCACAAGGGCAAGATATACAGTAGTTTGAGTATAACCTCGCTTGTCTTGTTATTAACACTCCTTTGTGTGAACCCAAGGACTTTGTTAGCCTTGTTTCGAGCAAATACGCATTCTTGTCGTGGTTTAAGATTCTTTCGCATTATTACACACAAATCTTTCTCACAGTCGAATTTCTCTATATCAACTATGTTCATCTGATATCTGGTTTCTCTGTTTATATCTCCTAGACTAAGTACTTTACATTTGTCCACATTAAATTTCATCTGCCATTTTTCAGACCATGCGAAAAATTGGTTTACCCTGTAGATCTTCTTGTAATTTTGCGGAGTCCTCATCAGATTTAATTACACGCCCTATTTTAGTGTCTTCAGCAAATTTACTTATGTTGCTGTCTATGCCTATATCTATGTCGTTTATGTATATAATAAATAGTAATGGTTCAAGTACTGAGCCTTCGGGTACTTCACTAGTGACGTTACCCCAATAGGATTTAGTGCCATTAATGCTTGTAAGATTGCACCATCGTACAATATAAAAAAAAAAAAAAAAAACAATCGGAAATTTCGGAAATTTCAAGATTTTATTTTTTGGAGGTGCCTAAATACCATATAAAATAAATGAAGAAATTGCCCAACTATATAAAAATAGACCAGATATTGCACAACATCAAACCTTAATATTGGATGTCAATATGAGATGCAAAAACTTCTTGAAGGTAATGTGCTCAGAAATTAAAAAGAGGTTTAACATCAATGATCCCTTTTAAAAATAGTCTCCTTTCTTAATCCTCAGACGTGGTTGAATTGGTACCAAAGATATTTAATGCAACCCTCCAGTAGTTAAAGGGTCAGCAGCAAAGGCTATGCTGGTCGACAGTAGATGCGAAACAAAAAGTTTGGATATTTTAGATTTATAAGAAAGTAATGAAAATTAAAGATGATGATTAGAACCTTAAATATGATGTAATTGGAAATTTGCGTTGACGTCTTGGCATTGCCAACGTCTAACGCAGCCACTGAAAGACTATTTTCAAAATTGAACCTTACCAAAACAAAGAGTAGAAACCTTGCAAATGCAAAACTAAATGCCCTTATCACTATTGTAAGATTGTACCATCGTACGATATGTTTTCCCATGTTGAGAGAGGGCTTGTCTTTGGCAGCCTGTTGTAAGTCTCCAGCTGACGCTGTTAGAATAAAGTCTACAAAGAACGTGGTCTATGACCAACCTCTCACATGGCGCACTGAGTAGGATATGTCGGGGCCCGACACGCCATTACAGCCCTGACAAGAACGCTGACATGGCCCCTACACGTCCACGATTCTCGACGCCCTCAAGGGGACGCCAGGGCTTTCTACACCGGCCGGGAACACCACGCGCGCCCAGCAGCAGGCCATGAGTGCATTGATGGCTCAGATGGCGTCTCTAGGTGCTGGCGGTGGTCATGCTTCTATGCCGGTCATGAAGCCCTCAGCAGCTGTCGCTCCAGAAGTGTGAGGCAGAAATGCCAGCAGCTGCGTTTAGACATGGAGGCGATCCATGGAGTCATGGGTGCTGTTGAACGGTGGCCACAACTGGTGGCCACACTCCACATTCGCCTGAACTGCATCCCTGCACTCCAAAGGGTGATTGACTCGAGATACCCCAGCGGTCAGAGTGGGAGCAGCTCGCCCAAAGAAGCCCTGGACGCCATCAGTGGAATGGTTCTTCAATCTTCAAACCAAGCTGTGAAATGGAACGAGTTTTTCAACAGCAAACAAGGTGAAGAGGAGCCCATGAAAAGGTATTTAACGATGCTTCGCAGAGGCAGTGGAGTGTGAATTTAAATGTCCCACCTGTGATAACGACCTCTGAGTACATGCTATTACGAAGTTATGGTGGGCCTGAGTAACCCAGTGTTGAAAAAGGGAAATTTTCAGGTACTCTAGTTATAATAGTGTTGAAGTGCTTAGAAACAAATGCATGTTATTTGAGGCAGCAGTGAGAGATGCTGGTGTATTGTGTCGCACGTCTGGCCAGGCAGTGGTGGGAACAGCCGCGGAGGCAGTGGCGGTTGGTGATGACGTCACCGGTGAGTCTGATAGCTGCCGCCCGACCTCGACACCCCAGTCGCACTGTGGTAACTGCGCATGTCAC